TTCACACCATTCTCCTGCCTCAGCCTCCCGAGTAGCTGGGACTACAGGCGCCCGCCACTGCGCCCGGCTAATTTTTTCTATTTTTAGTAGAGACGGGGTTTCACCATGGTCTCGATCTCCTGACCTTGTGATCCGCCCACCTCGGCCTCTCAAAGTGCTGGGATTACAGGCGTGAGCCACCGCGCCCGGCCTGCCTTATTCTTTTGCTCCCAAAGAATAAAGGAATGAAAAATCATTTTAAAGAATTTATAAAATTCACAAGAAAACTAAAATGGCACAATCAATACCCACCTGCCCTCTCCTAGATTCATCAATTGTTAATATTTTGCAACATTTCCTAACATTTGCTTTATCTAAATCTCTCTGTACTGATACCTATATATACTTATTTGCTGGAATGTTGAGAGTAAAATTAAAATATCATAACAGTATATCCTAAATACTTCTTCATGAGTCTCCTATGGATAAGAATGTTCTCTTACATAACCAAAATATTATTATCACACTCAAAAAACGTTTGACATTGTCTTAAAGTCAGCTGATTAGAAAAAAAGAAATTTAATGTTGCTAGAATGATTTTTATCTAATATATAGAACATTGAATGACTTATTCTTAAAAATCTGTCAGGAAAGAGATTTGCTCTCTAATCTATCCCAATGGTTAACACATCTCTCTTTAAGACAATGATACCTTATATTTTTGAGACATTTTGAGAATTCTGATGAAAGCTCTGGGACCTATCTTCAGAAAAATATTCGTAAAGACTGTACCAGTTTGAGGCCTGTTAGGAACTGGGCCGCACAGCAGGAGGTGTACAGTGGGGAGCAAGCAAAGCTTCATCTGCATTTCCGGCCACTACCCATGGTTGGCATTACTGCCTGAGCTCCGCCTCCCGTCAGATCAGTGGCAGCATGAGATTCTCATACGAGCACAAACCCTATTGCGAACTGAGCATGCAAAGGATCCGGGCTACATGCTCCATATGAGAATCTAATGCCTGATGATCTGTCACTGTCTCCCATCACCCCCAGATGAGACCATCTAATTGCCAGAGAACAAGCTAGGGCCCCCACTGATTCTACATTATGGTGAGTTGTATAATTATTTGATTATCTATTTCAGTGTAAGAATAATAGAAATAAAGTGATGTAAGAATAAAGAATAAATATAATGTGCTTGAATCATTCTGAAACCATCAACCCTGCACCTGCTCACCCACCTTCCATGTTTCCATTGTCTTCCCTGAAACTGGTTGCTGGTGCCAAAAAGACTGGGGACTGCTGCATAAAGACACTTACACTGGCCAAGAATACACACATCTTGGCTGCTTCTAGGTTGTATTGTTCACATTTAATCTAAATTCTCCTCCTTTGTGTACATACAATTTAAGGCCACAGTACTCGAAAAGGATGGAGAATGGTTTGTCCTCACTTTCCAACATTATGTTTTGTGTTCATGAACCTTCATTTCAAATGACAGGCAGGTGGGAGATCAAAGTATCCCCAACATATTAAAGGAAAGCAGAATCACAGATAAGGCTGGCAGTTGCACTATGACAGACACCCAGTAGGTGGACTAAATGATTAGAAGACCTGCAGGTATACTTCCACACTTGAGCTTCTCTTATTCTGCAAGCCTATACTTGCTTTCTTGATAATTTGCTTTTAAAAACTAAATACCTGTGACCAGGAATTACAGGAAATACAGGTATTTCCATCAGGGTTGGTACAACATTTAAGGACTTAATACCTAAAGATAGAATTTGTTGGTAATTATGAAGATATTTAGTTTTATCAACAACAAATTGCCCAATTCAGTTACAGTTCTAAGACTGGGAAGTGGGAGCAGGAAGGTAGATACATACTAGCAAATTAGGGTAACATTAAATGTCCTTAATTAAAAGGCCAACTGAAGCTGCCAAGGTCAAGCTGTACCTTGGGCTCTATTTTGTGAACTGTGATTTCGCAAGGAGAAGTCATTAGCTAACCGTAATCCAACATATGTGAGCTTAACACTGGTGAAGAGGAACACTGGTTCCTCTCCATATACCGACTAAAGAAAATGAGAGACATTTCTAGTTCAGTGAGAAAAATGACCAAGTTGGCCGAAATATAAGCACAAATGTATAAATACCTAATGCTATGATCTAGCACAAATTCTAATGTCTGTATTTTTCTCCATAATGCACCAAATGCCCTCAAAATTACTTTCTATAAAACTTTAATATTATAGAATCATATCACTTACTAATTAATGATTAGTATAATTCTTGAAAGGAAGGGTAACAAAAAGCTAGTTAAGCCTCTGGGAGGCCTGTGGGATTTATAAAAGTCTTACAGAGCTTTGAAAGGCTAAGAATTCACAGAGCATGGAACAATCAGCACTAATTGTGAAGGATAAACTTCTTATCCGTCTGCTTTTACTGTGGCTATGAAAAAGTGGGTTTTTCTTGAATTTAGCTAAGTAATTGTGAAGCTCTTTGACTCTGGCTTAAGATACCTTGTTTTTTAAAAAAAGTTTATCAGCGTAAAATAGCACACAAAACAATGAACATTTGCCACAGGCTAGTTCACTCTCTCGACTTATTTCTAATGCCAGATCCCATCATATTACATCAAGCAAGACACCCTTTCAGCATTTTCCCCTGATTTTTAATAAAATCACACAAGGTAACTCAGTATAATTCGTCATTAAAAAATCAATCTGGGCACCATGGCTCATGCCTGTAATCCCAGCATTTTAGGAGGCTGAGATAGGAGGATTCTTTGAGCTCGGGTGTTCGAGACCAGCCTGGGCAATAGAGTGAGAACTCATCTCTATGAAAAATGTTGAAAACTTAACTGAGTGTGGTGGCATGTTCCTGTAGTCCCAGCTTCTTGGGAGGCTGAGGCAGGAGGATCACTTGAGCCTGGAAGTTGAAGGTTGCAGTGAGCCATGATCATGCACTGCACTCCAGCCTGGGTGGCAGAGCAAGACTGTCTAAAAAATATAAAGAAAAAGAAAGAAAAGAAGAAAAGTGCAAGTGAAAAAGCACAATGACATCACATGTTCTCACTTGTAAGTGGGAGCTAAGCTATGAGGATTGCAAAGGTATAAGAATAATGCAATCGACTTTGTGGACTCAGGGGAAAGAGTAGGAGGTAGGTGAGGGATAAAAGACTACACTTGAGTATAGTGTACACTGCTTGGGTGATGGGTGCACCCAAATCTCAGAAATCACCACTGAAGAAATTATTCATGTAACCAAACACCACCTGTTCCCAAAAAACCTATTGAAATAAAAAAAATTAGAAAATTTTAAAGAAAGAAATAAAAAGAAAAAGAACCATAATGAGCTACTCCTTCACATCCATTAGAATGGCTATAAGTGCAAAGACAATAACAAATGTTGGGGAAGATGCGGAGAAACAGGAATCTTCATTCATTGCTGGTGGGAATATTAAAATATAGCCACTTTGGAAAACACCTTGGCAGTTTCTTTAAAAGTTAAACAGAAATTAAAAGCAGAATCCAGCGATGCTACATATAGGTTTTTACCCACTAGAAATGAAAACACATGTCTACACAGACTTGCATGTGAATGCTCATGGCAGCATTATCCATAGCAGCCAAAATTGGAAACAGCTGTAATGTCTGTTACCTGGTGAATGAGTAACAAAGTCTACTATATTCATACAATGGAATACTATTCAGCAATTAAAAACAAGAACAAAATACTAAAACAGCTGTAACATGGATGAACCTCAAAACACTGTATTAAATTAAAGAAGTCAGACATAAAAGATCACAGAGTGTATGATTCCATTTATATGAAATGTCCAGTAAAGGCAAATCTATTGAGAAAGTAGATGAGTGGTTTTCTGGTGCTGGTGTTAAGAAAGAGGATTAACTATAAAAGAGCAAAAGGAATCTTATTGGGGTGATGAAAATACTCTAAAACCAGATTATGGTGATGATTGCATAACCTGGTAAGTTTACTTAATTCATTGAACTGTGTACTTAAATTTTAAGTTTTTAAGTGATATATCAATAAAATTGTTTAAAAAAATACACCTGAGCTTCTCAAGACCTTAATAAAAATCTACAGCCTCAGAATTTCATCAGTCTTGCCTCTCTCCAATTCTAAGAGTGTAAGTTGTGTATCATAGGAGAATATTTCAGACACAAAAATGTTTATCTCTCCCAAAAGCTCCAGAAGAATTACTATGAATTTAACTTGTACGGTTTTGTCTTACCTGTTTGATGCTTACTTTTAAAAAGATATTATTCTTAATTGACACATAATAATTGTATATATTTCTGGAGAACAGTGTGGTATTTTAACACATGTATACAATGTGTAATGAGTGAGTCAGGGTAACTGGCATATTCATCACCTCAAACATTTATGATTTATTTGTGTTGGGAACATTCAAAATCCTTTCTTGTAGCTGTTTGAAAATACGCAATTTTCCAGAGATATTTCAAATAAAAAAAGAAAATACACAATAAATTATTGGGTTTTTTTTTGAGACAGAGTCTTGCTTTGTTGCCCAGGCTAGAGTGCAGTGTGCAGTCATGGCTCACTGCATCCTCCACTTCCCAGGCTCAGGCAATCCTCCTGCCTTAGCCTCCCTAGTAGCTGGAACCCCAGGTGCCACCATCACACCTAGCTAATTTTTAAAAATTATTATTTGTAGAGACGGGGGTCTCCCTATGTTGCGTACGCTGGTCTCAAACTCCTGGCCTCAAGTGATTCTCCTGTCTTGGCCTGCCAAAATGCTGGGATTACAGCCATGAGCCACGGTGTCTGGCCATAAATTACTGTTAACTGTATTCCCTCTACAATGTTATAGAACACTAAAATTTATTCCTCTTATCTAGCTATAATTTTTCATCAGATGCTAAAGGGAAACAGATGATGTGTGTACAATTTGTGGTAGTAGCCTAATTGGCAGTGTAAGAAATTTTATTTTAACACTGCTTTTAATCCTGATTTTCCCTCTTCATGTTCATGCAGGACTATTCCCTGAAATAACCAGGCCCTTTAAAAAGTCATTTGATGTCAAGCATGGAGTGGTAAGTCCAACGTTTCTCAGCGATCACTTACCTGTAGAGAGCTTAAATTATTGTATACTGCATATTATTCGTTAAAAAAACAAAAGGGGTTAAAATTTTAAAAAACAATATTCACTAAACATTTATTCCTGAGTGCTTATTTTGTGTGTAGCTTTCTATTAGGTGATAGGAACACAACAATAACCAAGGTTACAAATTGTGAACAACTGATGATACTGTGCTTTTATCATCATCACCAACTTTTCCTCTTTCCCATGCAGAGGAAAAATTAGTATATACTGGCAGTTAAAAATAACTTTCCTCTGATTGTAAACATTCAAATAATACAGAGTAACACAGTAAAGATTATCTGAAATTCTTTCCCTTCCCTCAGGGACAATCACTATTTTCATTTCAGCGAACATCCTTATAATGTCTCTCTATACTTATGTATGCATAAGGATACATGCATACACACAGTCTATTGATGAGATCATACTGGACACTGTCCTCTGTAACCTGCTTTTATCCTTCAATATTTTCGTGGACATCTTTCAGTGTTAATCAACATAATTATTTGTTATCATTTTTAATGGATACATAATATTTTATTAACTGACTCCATTACAATTTAAAAATATGCCATAGGCCGGGCATGGTGGCTCAGGTCTATAATCCCAGCACTTTGGGAGGCCAAGGCAGGTGGATCACCTGAGGTCAGGAGTTTGAGACCAGCCTGACCAACATAGTGAAACCCCATCTCTACTAAAAAAAAAATACAAAATTAGCTGGGTGTGATGGTACGTGCCTGTAATCCCAGATACTTGGGAGGCTGAAGCAGGAGAGTTGCTTGAACCTGGGAGGTGGATGTTGTAGTGAACCGAGATCGAACCATACACACATGCCATATAAGGAGGCATTTAAGGTTTTCTAACTTATAACTACTGTAACCCATGCTGTGATCAACAAAATTTGAATATACACTTTTGCAGCTGTAAAATCATCTCTTCAGGGTACGTTCGCATATGAGGAATTCTTGGGTCAAAAGTACACTTATTTTACAAATGGCCAAACTGCCTTCCCGAAAATTGGCTTCGTGCCCCAGTAGTGCGTGAGAGTGCCTGTTTTCCTATATCCTCTCTAACACTAGCTTTAAAATATAATCTTGATGTTTTCCAACTTGATAGATGAAGATAGCTCAATTTGCTTTTAATTTTATTTCTTTATTAGTGAAGTCAAGCATCTCCTCCTATGTTTATTCATCATTCATAGTTCTTTCATGAATTGTAATTGATTCTCACTATTTGTGGTTATATTTTGTAAAATCACCATGAATACTGAATTAAGGAATACTGAACCATTGTTCCTAAAGGAAATATAAGGTTAGATTCCTGGGAGCCTCCAGTCACTGCATCTTTGCCGACTGATCAATATATAATTTTGTTTTTACATATGTTTCTGTTTAAAGACACTTAATATATGTTGTTAATTTATTAACATTGAACTCATGGCTAACAGCACTATAACTAATGCCAGAATGGAGCTTAATTAATTTACAAATACATTTTAGCAAGTAGGTGAATTTGCAAATACAAATTCGTGAATAATTATATTTGAATGATAATGATAGTATATTTCCTTTGTCCATTTTCCTACTAGGGTGTTTAGCTTTTTAAAATTGATTTGTATATGGTATTCTCATATTAGAATTGTACTCTTTTGTCTATATTTTACTGTTATTGTTTGTTATTACAGTGGTGGCTTTTTTTTTTTTTGAGACAGGGTCTTGCTGTGTTGCCCAGGCTGGCCTTGAACTCCTGGGCTTAAACAATCTTCTGCCTTGGCCTTCTGAGTGGCTGAAACTACACTGCACTCACAGTGGTGGCTTTTGACAGCGGTATCAGTGCTTTCTGAATGCAGGAGTGGGGAGGAGCAATGTTGGGAAAATGAATTTTATTAGATTTCTATTATTATGAAAGTGGTTGGTATTTATTTCTATCTCTTTTTTTTATAGGCACATCAAATTTGGGATTTTGGTGATTGTTTTCCAACACCTCCAAATTATGGAAAATACTGTAAGTCCCATCCTAAACTACTACTTTATATCCATTTTCTGGCCTTTATTTTAATAGTGGTCTTCATGTGATATTTCCACACCTTTTGCGTTTCTGCTTTCTTCCTCCTGGCACCCACATTGTTACATCATTTTATCTCTCCTAACAATACAAAAGGTAGGATGCAGAAATAACAGGAGGGAGAAATGCAAGAGGCATTTGCCACTCATACTGGTGGCAGAGGCAGGGGCTGCATATGTAAAGATTTGGATCTATTGATTTAAAACAATGTTTGGGAATGTCAGGAAATTTCACTTGTGGTAGACTCTGTTTATCACAAACACTCATATATTGGCTATCTCTTCACCCTAGGTGTAAGACCTAAAAAGCTAGCACAGGAGGCCCTGATAAACTACAGTCGACGAGGGAAAGGTGTCCTAAAGCATGTAAGCATCTTTCTACTTGCCCTACAACAGTGGATCTCTGGGGGAGAGTCAGGAAGTGGGGTTCTGAGTGTCTCTACATGGCAGCAGGGGTGGTGGCCTGTGTATGTTTAGAGTTGGTATAAAAGTATTCCCTAAGTTACAATCAGGCAAAAAGCGGAGCTGTTCTGATAAGATAAAGTCTTTCTTAAAGCATCATGAATAGTTTCTTGGGTGGATCTCTCCACAGCTGTTTTGGAAACAAGCCCTTAAGAGGCTTACAGCAGTTGGAATTTCTATTGTACTGTCCGAATTTTCATCGGTGAGTTGCTGGGTTCTGCCTGTTGTGAAAAAGGGAGTTCTCCGATAGTCCTGCCCTGCCGCGTATCCACCCTGGGTGCCCAGTGGCCGGAGTTTCCCTCCCCATGTGCCCGTCCTGCCACCCATCATCTACCGTCCCTGCTTCCCCGAAATGACCCTCCAGACCAGGGATTCTCTCCTTCCGGATTAGACTTTCTCAAAACCCAGGGCTTTTAAACAGATTGTTAAAATGGGATTCTTTTTATGTCTTAAATTTCTAGCAGAGACTCTTAGAGAGTAAGTTGAAAGAATAAAAACTGGTTTCTGCATAGAAGTTACAACTAAACTGGTTTCTGCATAGAAGTTACAACTATTTTTGCTATTCTATTACTTTATTAAGATTTCTGTTTAACTTAAAAAAAACTCAGGCTCATCCAAAGTAATTATGTTCATTATACCATGGGTTTGATATTCTCATTATGTGTGTTAGGGGGGGAAAAAAAAAAAAACTCTGACCATTAAAGTAAAAAATGTTATGCAAGTACTACCTAACAGTATCACAAGAACCACCAGTTATACATACATTTCACTTTGGAAATGCTGGTCTTTGGGCATTAACTAGCAAATCTGATACATTTCGCTAATGGGAGAGGGTTGAATGACCCGCGCTGGTTCCCAGGCGACTTGTCTATTTTAATGATGGTCTTCCAGAAATGGTGCAGTTTTTCTCGACTTTTCTGCTTAGGACCTGATAATGTTCCCAGGGAGCATTTCAAACATGGGAAGCCAGTGCGGTGGCAGACTATGGAGGGAGTTGTTTGGGGGCATTTGTAGCTGTGTGGTCCCCTGAAAGTTATATTGTGTGGTCAACCAGGGACATCCCTTCACTGTAGGGTTGATGCCTGCTTCTAGGAAGGGTAGATGATTTCCTGAAAGTACATTTACTGAAAGCTGGCCTCTTGGGAGTTGCTTGGGAGAATCATTAACTATTGTTAAATAAATAAATCCCTCTTGCCTACATGGAATTGTACTGGTGCCAAGCAATTCCATTGCCAATCAGTGTCTGCAGCTGTTCTGGGGGAACAGTTGCTTCTCTCTGTAAGGTTCTTCCCCAACCCCTCCCAGAAAGGGAATTCTCTATACTCAAAGTAGCCGCTTTTAAGTCAACCATTCCCAACAAATAAATGACATTACATCCTGCTCTTGTTTTTGTGGTGCAATAACAGACTAAAAATACATGCACGTGCACACACACACACCCCACAATTAATATGCGGCGCATATTTGGAAAACCTTGGACCTAGAGTCCTGACAAAAAAAAAAAATAATAATAAATCATGACTTTTTATTTATGAGACAAGGCAAATCTTAATATTTTTAAATTTTATACTTTGAAGGAGAACAAGCACTGAGATATATAAATGCCCGATTTCCTGCATCAAAGCAATAAGTAGAGATTGAAATTTTCAACGATCATTAACACTATTCTTAGTTTTGAAAGTACTTGCTTGCTGGGTAGTGCCTTTGGTAACCATTCTCTAAGTATTTATATTCCTGTGTCCTATCTTGAAGAAGTTCCTGATGGAAACTGGAAAGCAGAGCATTCACATCCAGGAATGCGGGGACTAGAGGAATTAGGGAAACCTGGAAAGAATCTTACCAGAGAAGCAGTGGGGGCCGGTTAGGGATTGCAAGAGTTCCTGCCCTTTTTCTCTCCCGCTTTATTAATCTGGCCTTCCTGACAGAGACACAATATATTAAACAGGAGGGTTAAGAGAGATGGAAGAAAATGCAGGATCAATCCCATCTCCTGCTCATGAATGATGTCTGGTTTGGAAGAGACCATTTAATTCCCAATTCTGTGGAAAAGTGACCTTTGCAGATGAGCGAGTGTTGACAACCAGGCCATTTTTCTCCAGCTTCATGGACGGTGCGATTCTGAAAGCAAGGTTGGCTCATCTGAGGATTCGGAAGCTGATCGATACTCTGATTATGGCTGGGGAGGACCCTCATCGCCATTTAACTGAGTTGGAAAACGAAGCCACAGTGCTGGAGGCGTGGAGTTTGCTTAATAAACAACTTTGAGGTATGGGGCCCCCCCAACACCCCCCTGCCCAGGAACATCTGGATCCTGGCAGGTTGGCTTTCTGGGACAATTCCATGGGCTTCATTTCTCAATTTTTTCCCTTTTTAATTGGTGGTGAGAGACAAAACTTGTTATAATCTTTACTAAACTTTCCTTTTTAAATAAATACTTGGGACCACATTTATCCACAGGAACCACAGAAATGGTGCTGCGGCCCCGACCGTCGTGGGCTCCGGCGTCACAGAGCCTGTCCCTTGTATCTGGGAGCCCCGGGGAAGGGCGCAGGGGCGTGAGAAGGGTTCTTTGTATTCAGAGCGGTCACCCAGCAGAGCCGGAGCCTTCCACCGCCAGGTTTTCCTCCGCGCAAGGCGCCGCCGGGAAGCGAATTGGCTTCGACCGTCGGGGCGGGGTCGCGGCCCTCCCGCCCTGGCCCTCCCGGTAGGCTGCCCGCGCCCCCGGAGCCGCGCCCACGGCCCGCCCACCCGCCGCCTGCCCCTCCCCTCCCCCGTCCGCCTCTTCCCGCTCCTCCCGGCCCGCCGGAGCGGCCGCCTTCTCCTTCCTGCACGGCCCACCTCCTCTCTCCGCGATCCTCTGGCTCTCTCCAGGATCCTCCTCCCCTAGAGTCCACGGGCCGCCTCCACCGCCTACGATCCTCCTCCTCTCTTCGCGACCCTCCTCCTGCTGATTCTCCCCGCTACCGCCCGCCTCGTCGCCCTCGCGGAGCGCGCGGGAGGAGGGACCGGGAGGGGCAGGGGCTGCGCGGTGACCCGGGGCGCGGGAAGGAGCCCGCTGCGGTCCAGGCCCGCAAAGGGCCCCGGCAGCCGCCGACTTCCGAGGACAGGCAGAACGGTGTTTGGTTTACTGAAGGAGCCACCTCCTACCCCCTCTTCCTCCCCAGTCCCCGTTTTCTGCCCCCCACACCCCCTTCCATTTACTCCTAGTTACCAAGACCGTCCTTCTCTTAGGATTTTTGTTGAATAGAAAATACAATTAAAAGTCGCAGCACCGCCCCTGCCTCCCGTCCCCCAAACTCCTAGTGATTATTTTTGTCTCTTAGCCCTAGGTTGGGTTAAATACATTCCCCGGGAGCCATCTGGTCTGATTCCCGGCAACCTTCGTATGGTTTCCATTAAGCTCTCCAAAAGCATGCGTTGAAAAGGCAGCCTTGCAGCCACTCAGGAACCTCCGGAGTTTTGCCCTGGCCAGCCCGGGTAGACATCTCAGGCAGTAGGAGAGAAAGGCCTTTGTTGAGGTTCCGAGTCTAGTACCTCATGATCCAGGTTTTAATCTCTTAACTTCCTGGCTTTTCCTGGTCCAATAAAATACAGTTCTCTAAGGTAATGGTTATCATTAATTCATCATTTGTTTTTTACTATATGCAAGGGATAGCTGATTACAATTCTGTTTTAATTCTAAAACTGAAGTCTTAACAGCTTTACAGATGAGTTGCAACAGTAACCTGGCCGCAGAAGTTCAATTTGACCAGCAGCATTGGTGTGGTGGGGTCTACACCTTCTTGCTTGTCTATCCCCCATTCCTTAATCCCCAAAAGGCAAAGAGCAAATGTTTGCTTGTGGAAACATATTCCCTCACACGTGAGTTAGGGCTTGTATCCAAGAAAAAGGGAACCGGCAGGTTCATAGACTCAGAGTGTTGTGACTAGAATGTTCTTTAGGATTCATCCGAGATGTATGTCCATTGATTGAGGACACTCAGAAAGTGGAGGGGCTTCGGGAAGGTCACATGACTGATGAGTACTGTACTGCAGCCAAATTTGGGGATGGGAGGGTGGGGAAGAGACCTGGGCATCAAGTGCTTTATCATATACAGCAAGGAAGATTGTGGTCAAATCAATTCATTAGTGGCACATCCTAGCTCTCCCCAGCCCCTCAGCTGCAGTTCCGTCTCTGTCCTGCTCTGTGCCTCCTTGTTTGGGGAGTTAGAGCCCTTTGCTTTTCTTCCTATTTCCCCACTCCCGCCCTGCCCGTGTGATTTTTATTTGGGTTTTTAAAACGAAACCAGGTGCTGCATAAAACAAAAGCAAAGTAATAACAAGGAAAGACTATCCAACCCTTGAGGAATGTGCTGAGTTTTATGACTCAGGCTGTCCTGGCAAAGGGCTTGGGCTGACAGCGAGAGGTGGGTGGCACGGAGCACAGACCATACATGGCAGCCCTGGCCTCCCCAGATAGGCATGGTCAAGGCAGCCTGTGACTCACAAAACCAGAGACTCTTGTTCTTTGTGGAGCAAGACTTCCCGGAGGCTAAAGCAAGATGATCATCAACTTTTCTCCTAGAGCTCCAGAGCCAGTTCAGTCTGATAAAGCAGGGGCCACCCCGGAGTTTGGAGGGGAAGAGAGCCCAGGCAGAAGGCCATCCCTGGGAAAGAAACAGGCTTGATGGACTTGGGCGAGAGCTTTGGTGCAGTCAGGAGATGAGTAACATGGAAGTTGCAACATGACATGAAAATTAGCATGTATTGTAGTGGAGACAATGGCTTGAGAGTTCCAGGTCGCTGGACTGCCACAGTGCCTTGGAGAAGGGGACTGTTTGAGTGCTCCTAAGCCCGGAGGAGGTGTTTGCTCCTCCTGAGTGCATGGAGCACAGGAAAAGCTTGTCAGATGCCAGTAAGGTTTTCGAGGTGCCATTCCTCATGCAATCAGGAAGAGTAACTATGGGCAAAAGTAGTAGACTTTGCATAAACACCCAGAGAGCCACCCAGACACACATCCTCACATTCTGAGAATTCTTTTCAAATGAGCATAGTAATGGGGTGAGGTGTACATTTTTTCTGTTACTAAGAGACAGACTGAGAGAGAGAGAATGCAAAGGAGAATGTCTCTCCTAGCAGAGGTGGTGGGAGGGGTTGGAATTTGGGTGACAAGAATCTGTTTGCGCCCCCTTCATTACACAGGCCTGGGTGAAACGGGACTGATAGGGCTTCTTCTGGTTTCTGCTTCTGGTTTCTTCTTCCCAGAGAAGGCTGTCACTTTTTGAATGAGAATGAACTTTGACTGGCATAAATGAGATCTCTGTGCAGAAGCTCCATGGAACAGGCTCTTGTGTTTCCTTATCTTCTTTCTCTTTTTCTTTTCCTTTCCATGGACTATCCATTGAAAAGCTATGGTGACTATTCCATAATTGCAGGCAAAGCTCTGCTTAACTTTTTCCTTAAAGTCTACTTACCTGGAAAAATAAAGTCTTTTAAGGACGATGACTTCATAAATATTTATAGTGGGAACAGGCGTCACTCTGGTTCTGCGAGAGAATGGGCTCATTCAATTTTATTTATGATGTGACACTTGGGTGAGTGACATCTGTCATCTGGGTCGGCCCTACACTCTGTTCCACTGAAGCATGTTTATGGAGTGATTATGCCTGCAAATATTTGCTATATTTAGGCCCTCTCCTCCCCTAACCCCCTCTTAGCCTTCTTAAGTCCCCAAAAAGCCAAGCTGTGGTCTGGAAGGTTTGAACCCTAATGATAAGGCACAGGGGCTTGAACACGTGCTGTAGAAGGATTTGATGAATTGGGAGGCAATTAGAGTGGGAACGCTGTTACTATAGCATTCCTGTATTCAGGAGGTTTTGCTGTCCTGTATCTAGCAGGTGAGGGCTCTCAGCTGGGCATTAGGGGTTTTGACAGGTGACGAGCACAGCCCTGAGTGACGAATGTAGAGGGATGCTTTTGAAACTCTTCCCTTCCCAGGGAGCTTTCTCCGGACAGGATCTCACAGGCCCTCAGATCTGTCACCATGCACTCCAGGGCTCTAGGGGCGGGACCTGATAGGGACTCTATGACCTCAGCTGGGTCAAGGTCTGGGTGTAACCTGAGGCCTCCACTCAGCCACACCTCGTCCATGGCTGGGTGCAACAGCTGCCCTCCATCAGCTGCAGAGGAGGGAGGGCCTTCTCTGGCTTCCTGGCTTTCGAGTGCACATGCCTTGACCTAGGCATTTCAGGCTGGACTTAGACATACTTCAGGACTCAGTATTTGCTCTCCGATCGGCTTGGCGATCTATTGTTTATCCTGGGAAGGGCCAGGTCTTGGCATAGGAGCCTGAAGCGTTGCCAGTGTTTTATTTTTAGAGACAGGAAAATGTCTGCTTTTTGGCAGCTGCTCTTTTTCTGGCACACATCAGGGATGGTGTAAAAAAGTTCAAGTGAGAGATTCCAAGCCCTAAATTCATGGCCTATGACATAGGCAATAGCACCATGAGCCTCTCAACAGGCGCCTTTGGGGAACCTAGGATCTGTCATTAGAAGGCCTCCTGGGCAGCGTAGTGGCCTGCCTGACACACCCTGGTGGCGAGAGTCCTGTCTAGTTCATAAACCTCAGAGCCTGAACATCTCGTGAGTTCCTTTTGAACGCATCAGCCCATCTGAACTATTATAGTTCTTCCCTCCATTTTTCTCCTTCTCTACCAGTCCATAATCTAGTTCAACTTGGTAGCAGAGTTAAAAGAAAAAAAGAAGTCTGCTAAATTTCATGTTCATCAATCCTTCTTAAACCCAGTGATGTTGTCATCATAATGATTGTAGAAGCCAGCCAGTGTCCATGGCAAGAAATGTCTTACTAGACTCAGAGATCACATTTCCAAGTTTTATTGGAATTAATATTTGTCCTAACATAGCCCTCTTAAAACATTTTTGTAGGTCCTGTGATTCTGGCTACTGGAAATTTATAGGAAAGCACTTTGTAAACTATAGTGACATATTATGCAAAGGTAAAATGGAATAGAAATAAACATAAATAATTATCAGTATCTTTTCTCCCCAACCTTTGGAAAAAGATTACTTTCTAATTACAAAAATAAAACATGAATGCATTCTTCTTTACTGCTTATAGCCCATGATTGCCTTTTGGATTCATTTTTCTTCCTGCTGGAGCACATCTGTGGTGGATTTTCTTTTGCTTTTCCTCCCTTCTCCATCAGAGTGGGTAATACATTTTTCTAAGGGCTGGTGTGTCTGAGAAGGTATTTTGCTCTCTCTCTCTC